CGTGTCCTCTACCTTCCAAAAAAAATTCAGCTCATTTGGTTGAAGATTCATGAAAATATTCAAATTTTTTTCTCCAACTCTAGTGAATTACTGGACACCCTATATATCTATACCAATACAATCATCTAGACCAAAAAAGAACTCGCTCTAAGATTCGCTCGTACCCCTGTAATTTATATATTTCCTCTTATTCTAACCCTTAATCTATATCTATCCCCTTATTCTAATCCTTAATCTATATCTAATCTCTTATGCGAACCCTTCATTTATATCTTACGCTTGTTCTATACGTACCGGCTAACTCTCTAAAGAAAAACGCATCCTCGGAAACCCTTATAGGATTTTGACATGTTGCCATATGTAACAGAACCTACAAGACAAAATATTGTCAGGTCTCAATTGGTAAAATGCAACTTACCATTACGATCATATCGATTTGAATCTAGAATAAAACAAAAGAAACAAATAGTTTTTAATCATTGAACTGTAACATACGATTGGCATCACATCGAGTCGAATCTAAAACAAAAATAAAAAAATGTATTAGTTTTTAATTAATAAAATGTAACTTACGTTTTCGATCATAGCGATTAGACTCTGAAAGAAAACAAAAGAAATCAATAGTTTTCAGTTTTTTAATGGTAACTTACGCTTGAAACGACATTTCCGCGCGGACAATTTCGCGCCGACATTTTCATGCACGACAGTTCGGAATTCGCGCTAGGCATACACCAAACCCAAACCGTTTGGGTTTGGTGAGTTTGGGTATTGAGTTTGGGTTTGGGTTTGAGTTTGGATATTCAGTGTGGGTTTCAGTTTGCTACATCAACTCACTGAACTACTGGACTTTAAATGCAGTGCCATTTGTGTCAAGTCTCTTCTCTATATTTAGCTATTTATTCTATATAGATATGAGCAAAAGCATATTTCTATGCTTCACATTGTTAAACAGTCATGCTGAATTTCAGAAGAATAGCTTGAAGAATGGATAATTTTGATCGGTTTACCTATGATCTGATTGATGGAAAATCGAAATCACATTTCTCAGTTGAAGAAGCGATTGTTCGATATTTTGTGATAGTCAAACATTGATTTTTAGGTAGAGGAACCCAAAACCAAACCTCATTTTCCTCGAAACTGCATTGATAGATCAAGAGGCAATAGAAATTGACGTTTTAAAGAGACAGCCTGTGTCGGGTGGTTTGTCATTCGATAGTACATGGACTATACAGCAGTGCCACATATCCAGAAATTCTGAGGTGCTGTAGAAGTGCAGAAAAATGTGAAAGATGTCACATCTTCCTCAGGTATCACGTCTCCTCGAGAGATGCTGAATCTCCTGGGAAGATATACTTGGAGATGCGGCATCTGCTGCCTGAATTCTTGTTGAAAAATATAAAGAAAATTTTATTGAGAGATGCTGCATCTCTCGCCGAGGTCCTAGGCTATAAATCGAAAAAAAAAATTTTCATCGGGAGATACTTGGAGATATTGATACGGAAGTACCACATTGCCTGCCGAGAAGTGCTTGAAGATACAACATCTCTCGAGGAGTACCGTATCTTCCAATGAAATTTTTTTATTTTATTTTTAGCCTGAGATCCCAGCGAGAGATCCATCTCCTGCAGGAGATGCCGCATCTCTGAGCACATTTTCCTAGAAGATCTGGCATCTCTAAACATATCTCTACAGCGACAATAAGAGAGGAGACACGAGCACTCATAGATATACATAGCCACATCTCACAAGTGTGGGTGAGGGTGAAAATACAAACACACAAGTGAAACACATACAGCCACATCTCATTAGTGTAAGTGTGAGAGAAAACGTAAACCTACCTGAGAACACATATAATGTAATCGTCCATAAGTAGATAGTTTGGTATTGCTCGCATCTCCCTGCACTTCTCCAGCATTCCCGATTTTCTGGATATGTGACACCTCTCTAACTACATGATGGACATACACAAAGGCACTTCTAACTACTATGTGGTTAGCCAACATGCCCGACGTGCTCAAGTGATTAAACGGAAGAAACTCTAAGCCATGCCGGCTTTCTGCCCAGACCTACAGCTAGTAATAGTTGTAGGAAAAATATCGGGCCTTCGAAACTGTCTTCAGACAACATCCTTTATCGCAAAACAATGGAAAGGCGCGTTATTCTTCTTCGTCTTCTTCTTCTTCTTCTAGGATAGTTTGAGACGACGGTTTGATTCATAGCTAGAGGTGTTAGCCGATCTTTTTTCCGGCGGCGGCGACGCGTCAAGTCCGCCGAGAAAACTGTTTTCAGCGGCGGCGGTGAAATTGTTCGTGCGTCGTTTCCGTTTATTCGTGGTTCCCTACTGCTAAAACAAACATTACACGTTCCGTTCTCACAGAAATATAACGTTATATATCTCCTTCAACGCGGATCTCCTTTTTTAAAAAGATTTTTCACTATACAACAGTTTATTTTCATCAAGTCAAGACTTTCAATATTTTAAGGTACAATAAGTTGAAAAATAACAATAGCGTATGCTAGCAGCAGAAACAATAGTAGTATCATTTGAATCTACTTGTTTGTCAACGCAAATTTTGCAATAAATAGTATTGTTATCGATCGCTTCTTTCATTTTTAATGATGTCAGTTGACCGAAGTATGACCATGCAAGAGAGTCACCGATCTTGAAAGAGCGGAGTTTGATGTAAACATCTCGAACACAGTGCGTCATTCTAGCAGAATAATCAGTTTTTCTTCACCTGCCAGATATAATACAATGTTCACAAGAATGTCAGTTGTGTCACTGAATGTGCAATGCGAACGCAACTATTTATATGTTTCATACCTTTTGTTCTATCGCCTAATTGATTATTCAGAAAAGGAAGAAGTTTGAACTAGAGATTCTAATTCGATCAACGGCGACGGCGGCGAAAAATTCCTCGCCGGAACTCCCTCTTTGGCGGCGGCGGCGAAAAATCGGCGGCTAACATCTCTACTCATAGCGATATTGCCCTACAAATACTTTAGCGGGGTAATGCGTCAGTAGAAATTGAACTTCGTGTTATAAGTTAAAGCTTGTTTAGATGTAGTACGTAAGGGTTTTCCTGTTTAGGATTATACAAATACATTTGAGTTTCCTTTTCTTCTCTTATTGTCAGTCGTGCGTCATAGATTTTTTCTTTCCTGTCAGATTCGTATATGTGATGGTATTTTTCCTTTCACTTATACGTATATGCGATAGACATATCCCCCCACTTTTGATCTTCTACGTTTAGCTTTGTTTTACAGATCTCTCTTTCCTCTTCATAATCTATGGGATTTTTCTATATTATTGCTATCTATATACTTGATATATTGTCGCGACAAAGAGAAATTAAAAACAGATATAGCTAAGAAATGAATTACAAATGGAATTCAAATCTCACATTTAGGATAGAAAGCTCCACCGAAAAGTAGTCAGAAAGTGGATGTTTGAACTTACAGTCTGTGTGACTTGGAACACAATTATCTATCTCGAAAGGATGAGTTTTTGCATGTTGATATATTCTACTGAGCTCTAATTCTTTGACTAGCAATGGAGGTGTGTGTATTGTTGAGCGAAAAAGTGGCACATGTTCGGGTCAAATGAAAGCTCTCAACGCCAAACTAACAAGGTTAAAATATTAGCGGTCGTTGGCTTGTCTAGAGGGAGATATTTAACTTTTAAGTGTAGGTGTAAAAATGAACCAGGAAAGGTTTTCTACACTATTATAAGGACAAAACATAGTGTTGTTCGGGGCGATTAGGAGGTTTGTAGGGACCCTCTTTCATATGGCCCGAACAACGCTATGCTCTGTCCTTACAATAGTAGAGTGAATTTTCCTGTAAATCATGGAAACGGCATTTTCTATCAATCACTAGAAAAATTCACTCTGCTATTATAGGGACAAAACATAGTGTTGTTCGGGCCGATTATAGGGTTTGTAGGGACCCACTTTCATATGGCCCGAACAACACTATGTTTTGTCCTTATAATAGCGAAGTGAATTTTTCTAGTGGTTGATAGAAAATGCTGTTTCCATGACCTACAGGAAAAATTCACTCTACTATTGTAACGACAGAACATAGTGTTGTTCGGGCCATATGAAAGAGGGTCCCTACAAACCTCCTAATCGCCCCGAACAACACTATGTTTTGTCCTTATAATAGTGGAGAAAACCTTTCCTGATTCATTTTTACACCTACACTTAAAAGTTAAATATCTCCCTCTAGACAAGCCAACGACCGCTAATATTTTAACCTTGTTAGTTTGGCGTTGAGAGCCTTCATTTGACCCGAACATGTGCCACTTTTTCGCTCAACAATACACACACTTCCATTGTAAGATCAATTAATGAGACTTCTGCAGATCTCTGATCTAGTTACTCTGAGGCCCTTATATATATTGTTCGATCACTCAGAATTGTTCGCTATGTGGCCATGAATCGATCAAGTTTCTGAATCTTGAAAGTTTAGTCGATGAAGGTGTGAATGTGGAAGTTGGAAAGCGTAAATAAGTATAGCGATATGGATGTGTAGTTGCATCACGGCTGTTAACCATGCACATGCTTAGTCTAGATTTATTCCTACGGAACCGTTTTTCGAAAATGTCCATTTCTGATGATTTTGGGGCTTGCTGATCTAGCAGTGACTCCATGGAGAATGAGACTTTCCGTATTTTCTTCATATCTTCTCTAGTTTTCATGGATTCAGATGGGACTTTCTTAATAAGATTGAGCAATTGATTGTGTACGAGGTCATAGAAAGATGTATCTCATAGAAATAAAATAAAAGACATTTTGTTGCAATATTACAGATAGGCATGTATCCAAACCGTTTGAGTCGCTTTTGCCTAAACGAAAAAAAATGCCCTTATCTACTAAACCGTACGACACAACAGTTTTTTGTCAGTGAAATACTAAAGTAGAAGAATGACACTACAGAATACCAAAAGAGAGATTTGAGTAACCTTCTTAGTCTACGTATTAGAGTCAATCAGAAAACCCAAACTCAATGAGTTTGGAATTGGGTTTGAGTGGTTGTTCAGTTCTTTTTAAATATCTTTGTTTAACCGAGTAGCTGGTTTGATCACTTTCCATTTAGTTTTTAAAGGTAAACTTTCTTCCATATTAATAGTGAGACATATTATTGGTATAGTTCATCATCAGTGGAATAAGTTTGAAATACTCTCTTTCTTCTATTGAATTTGGGTGCATGTCTGTCATTTACAGATATGCAGTGGCGTAGCCAAGGGTACGGTTATTGGGCAATTGTCCATTACTTCAAAAGCAATTGCCCATGAGTGTTTTCAAATGATATTAATTGCGCAATGCTGAAAAATCTTGATAGACATACACGTACAAAGATCCAAGTGACGTCATATTAATACATTGTATCTTGTTGTAATCTAATCAAGCGTGCAAGAAAAATCAACTGACTAGTTTTTTCAATAAACTGATGCTCACACTGATGACAATTCAAAGGTATTTTTTTTTATCAAAATACTCGTTCTTTCACTTAAATTCACTACTAGTTCTAGTTGTGCTTATTTACGCTTTTTGACCTAATATATTCAAACAAGTAACGTT